CCTGGTCGGGCCAAGCCAGGACACCCGTCTATAGGAAGCAGGGGCCAAAGTGGTGTGTTGCCTCGCCCGGGGGGCCCCGAAGGGTCCAAACCTACCCCGGGCTCAGCTCAACCACCAGGATGCCCTTTTCCCTGGACACGGGCTCGCCACGCACAGCCAGACGTGGGTGGGTCTTAGCCACTTTTACTCAGGGTCTGTGGTGTCGCCAAAGTGGCTGGGGTCCGTGGTGACGCTACTCACCAAGCACCTAGCACCTAAGGTGCAGGCGCCCCCTGCGGAGCTCGGGGTCCGTGGAGACGCCACTCTCCAAACACCTGCTTTCACAGGTGCCCCCTGCGGGGAAAATGAAGGGACAGTTGAACGATAAATTCACTGGTAGCTCATTGCTATTTGAAGCGAGACGGGGCTAAGAACAAAAAAATATAGGGCTAAATTTCAGGGAATAAGCACTCTATGTTACGTATGCAACCAAGAAAGGGGACCTATGGAGCATGTCATTTTAAAGTGCACGGGGGCTTTGTCCCATCTTCTTATGGGGGTGACATGATGATGGATTCGGAGGAGGCACTGAGATTTGTGGACATGGATGGAGGAATGGATAGGGAGAGAATTGCGGTAACAAAGAGGAGATTGGAAGATTGGTGGAAAAGATCTAGGGAGGGGTGAAAAAAAGCAGGTAAAAATAAGCACTGGAAACACTTCAAAGGGGAAGGGTTGTTTTAGAACAATATTTACACAAAATTTAAAAATGGATGATTGTTGGACTAGGAGTGCAAGCTGGCACAAGATACAAAGGGTATAGCCATTGCCATCCATCCATCCACCCAAAACATCATCTTTATTTGCTTTAATCTTTGTTAAACCATTCTCAATAACTTGGACAGCTCAGTATGGTACAACATGTCATAGCATCTGGCCTCCAGATGAGAAAATAGATCACAAGCCTTTGCCGAAAATGGGCAGACTTGTCCTCATTATAAGGGCTGTGCTACACAGCGTCACCTCTGATGAGGTACTTAGAAGTGCAAAAGGCAGGGAATGTTTTTTATAGTAATCAAAAACTGCGCTCCATAGAAGTCTCTAGGTCAAATTTGCACTTGCCATTTGAGAATGAAGGAGTCAATGAGCCCTAAACTGGTTGTAAACTGTTGTTGACACAGCATTATCTTAAAATTTTGTTACATGCTTGCTGATAACAGCAAGCCTTTTTATGTCATATCACTATTGGTAACATATCTATATTTTTGCATTTTCAGAATACACCTGCAAGAAATTTCACCTTTTGAAAGAAACCACAGTGCGGTCGTCACTGTCGTCTATGCTAAACAAGACGAAGGAGTCCAGCCCTGAGTAAATCCACATCATGAGAGCTTCGACTGCTTTCAAGAAAATAAAGGTGATTGAAATGTTGCTTTCATGTTTTATCATGTTTATCATATATATGAATGTGCCTTTTACAAAAAAGCAGGCCAGCACGGGTATAAAAGGCTGGTATATTATCCCTTTTTATTAAGAGCTAAAGAAAAAAAAAAACGAGCATGCCTGCTAAAGGAAGAAATTGATCAAGCCATATGGCTCCTGTGCAAAGAGCTGAAAAAAAGAAGGATGGCAGCTATAGCATGCTGGATAGACACACATAGAGTAAACCATAGAAATAGCTATAGCAGACCATACAGGGAGATAGGCGGCTAAGGAAACCAAAGGAAAAGCAATAGCATACTGGTTAAAGAGACCCATGATGCAAGCTACAGACATATTTATAGCAGACCATACAGAGAGCTATGGATAGCTAAACAAACCAAAGGAAAAGCTGTAGGCAGCTATAGCATGGTGGTATAAAGAGACCTATAGGGCAAACCATAGAGGTATCTATAGCAGACTATACAGAGAGATATAGGCAGCTATAGCGCAGTGGCTAAAGAGACCCATAGGGCAGGCCATATAAATATCTGTAGCAGACTATACAGGGAGCTTCAGATGACCAAAGGTAAAGCTGTAGGAAGCTACAGCAAGCTGGCTAAAGAGACCCATTGGGCTAGCCACAAAAATCTATAGCAGGCCATACATGGAGCTATAGATGGCTAAAGAAGCCAAAGGCAAACCTATAGGCAGCTATAGCACACTGGCTAAACAGACCCATAAAGCAAGCCATAGAAATATCTATAGCAGGCCATACAGAGAGCTACAAGTAACCAAAGAAACCCAAGGAAAAGTTCTAAGAAGCTATAGCAAGCTGACTAAAGAGACCCATTGGGCTAGCCATAGAAATCTCTGTAGCAGACCATACAGGGAGCTACAGAAAACCAAAGGAAAAGCTATAAGAAGCCATAGCAAGCTGGCTAAAGAGACCCATAGGGCAAGACATAGAAATGTCTATAGCAGGCCATACAGGGAGCTACAGAAAACCAAAGAAACCAAAGGGAAAGCTATAAGAAGCTATAGCAAGCTGGCTAAACAGACCCATAGGGCAAGCCATAGGAATATCTATAGCAGACCATACAGGGAGCTACAGAAAACCAAAGAAACCAAAGGAAAAGCTATAAGAAGCCATAGCAAGCTGGCTAAAGAGACCCATAGGGCAAGACATAGAAATGTCTATAGCAGACCATACAGGGAGCTACAGAAAACCAAAGAAACCAAAGGGAAATCTATAAGAAGCTATAGCAGGCTGGCTAAACAGACCCATAGGGCGAGACATAGAAATATCTATAGCAGACCATACAGGGAGCAACAGAAAACCAAAGAAACCAAAGGAAAAGCTATAAGAAGCTATAGCTAGCAAGCTGGCTAAAGAGACCCATAGGGCGAGACATAGAAATATCTATAGCAGACCATACAGGGAGCTACAGAAAACCAAAGAAACCAAAGGAAAAGCTATAAGAAGCCATAGCAAGCTGGCTAAAGAGACCCATAGGGCGAGACATAGAAATATCTATAGCAGACCATACAGGGAGCTACAGAAAACCAAAGAAACCAAAGGAAAAGCTATAAGAAGCCATAGCAAACTGGCTAAAGAGACCCATAGGGCAAGACATAGAGATGTCTATAGCAGACCATACAGGGAGCTACAGAAAACCAAAGAAACCAAAGGGAAATCTATAAGAAGCTATAGCAGGCTGGCTAAAGAGACCCATAGGATGAGACATAGAAATATCTATAGCAGACCATACAGGGAGCTACAGAAAACCAAAGAAACCAAAGGGAAATCTATAAGAAGCTATAGCAGGCTGGCTAAAGAGACCCATAGGGTGAGATATAGAAATATCTATAGCAGACCATACAGGGATCTACAGAAAACCAAAAAAAAAACAAAGGAAAAGCTATAAGAAGCTATAGCAAGCTGGCTAAAGAGACCCATAGGGCGAGACATAGAAATATCTATAGCAGACCATACAGGGAGCTACAGAAAACTAAAGAAACCAAAGGAAAAGCTATAAGAAGCCATAGCAAGCTGGCTAAAGAGACCCATAGGGCAAGACATAGAAATGTCTATAGCAGACCATACAGGGAGCTACAGAAAACCAAAGAAACCAAAGGGAAATCTATAAGAAGCTATAGCAGGCTGGCTAAACAGACCCATAGGGCAAGCCATAGGAACATCTATAGCAGACCATACAGGGAGCTACAGAAACCAAAGGAAAAGCTATGAGAAGCTATAGCAAGCTGGCTAAAGGAACCCATAGAGCAAGCCATAGTAATCTCTATAGGTGACCATACATTGAGCTATAGGTGGCTAAAGAAACCAAAGGAAAAGCTATAGGAAGCTATAACAAGATTGCTAAAGAGACCTATAGAGAAAGCCATAGTAATCTCTATAGGCGTCCATATATTGACCTATAGCCGGCTAAAGAAACCAAAGGGAGAGGAAGCTATAGCACGCTGGCTAAAGAAACCCAAAGGGGAAGCTATACAGGGGTCTTTAGCAAACCATTCAGAAAGCTATAGACTTCTGTAGCTAGCTAGTGAGAACCATAGGAAAAGCTAAAGGCACCCATAGGCACGACTGTAGAATGAGCTAAAGACACCCATAGAGGTGGCTATAGCTAATTGGGCCAATTTTCTATAGCCAGCCATACAAAGGATTTTTTATAGCCGACCATAGATCCATAGCGTAAGCCATACAGATCTCTATAGCAGACCATACAAGAAGGTATAGACGGCTAAAGGAACCAAAGCAAAAGCCGTAGGTGGCTATAGTGTCCTTTCTAAAGACACCCATAGAGTCTATGGGTCTCTTTAGAAAGAGGCTATAGACAGCCATAGGGGACACCATAGGAGAAGCTATAGACAGCTATAAAAACGGCTATAGCTATTTGGGCCAATTTTCTATAGCCGGCCATACAAAGATTTTCTATAGCCGACCATAGACCATTTTTGTGTGGGCTTTCTGCGTGCTCAAGTGCAAAGAGTGAGGTCAGGTAAAAGCCTGCCACTTAATGTTTGCGGTGAGCATGTAGCTTCAACCACCCTGTCAGCTTAGTGGTGAATGGAGTAACCGATCAGTAGGTTGCAGCAACTCTGTATAGAAATCGCGCTGCAAATGTTAAAGAGGCCCTGAAATAAAACTTACTGGCCACGATTTTCCATTATAGCTTGAACGTAAAAGGGAGTCCACAGCTTTCTGTTGACGAAATGTCTATAGCCTTTATTGGGTGCCAGGATTGCGACATGAGTGCCATCCCCAGGTGAAAATTCAAAGTGGTTCCACTTTGAAGTGGTTTATTGAACAGGGACCACTTTGGAGTGGTCCCACTTTCAAAGTGGGACCACTCTAAAGTGGTCCCTGTTCAATAAACCACTTTAAAGTGGGACCACTTTGAGGTGGAACCACTTTGAGGTGGAACCACTTTGAAGTGGGACCACTTTGAAGTGGTCCCACCTTAAAAGTGGGGCCACCTGTTTGCAGGCAATAGCCGATGCACTCGTAGCCGTGTGTACATAGATTGCTGACGACCAAGCTTGTTAGTATTATGTTAATATATGTATAAAAATCTGCAGTCTTATGATATAATAGTTTATTGAAATCTCTGTGGCAAAGGTGACAGATTGAGTTCAGCCAGGAAGCAGCTCCCCACCTCTTTTCACTTTAACAGAGTGAATGCTGGAGAGGAAGCAACCTCCTCTCCAGAATTCATTCTGCTAAAGTGGCAGGAGGTGGAGAGGAACTTCCCCTGCTCTTAACCTATAGAACAGACTATGTCTGGACACTTTTAGAAAGGTCGATGCGCTTGAGGGCCTTCCTCGTATCTTGAATTTTCTCGGACAAGATGGTATTCATGTTGACCAGAGCACTGCTGACATCCACTTTCTTCGTTTGACCCCAGTATGTGACTGTTTCTAAAAAAAGAAAAAGAATCAGCATCATATTTAAGAATAATGCCACTCTTACTCACCAAAGACAAGGGCAACTTTTTCTGGAGACAACTCCTTTCTTGCTATGGCACCAGGATTCCTGCGATCCTTTGGTGCCAGTCGCCCTCCGTAGGTTCTCTGCGAGAGCTTCTCAGAACCCCAGAGTGCCTGGGCTGTATCTTTAGCCACTTTTGCTGCCCTTGTGTTGTTAAAAATGGTTTGTCTTTGATCCTCCCTGATAGTTACACCTCCCTTGAGGTGGAACTGCAAAATTGGTAAAATTTAAGCAAACATTAGAAAAGTAAAATGAAAGAAAAGCTGAAACGTACCCTGCCACTGTCCAAGGTGCTGAAGGGTGGTGCACTTCTTGGCCCACTGTACTCCGCAACTGTACAGGAAAAATATGCGTGTTTGTGTCTGATCACTTTCAACATTTGTGACAAGACTAGGAGGGTTTTGCTACTGTTATTTTGACCCAGACCACTGATAAATAACTTGTAGCAACAAATTACAAGCCTTTTTGTCAAATAAAGTGTCATTATAAAAAATATTTTGGCAAAGCAGCCTTTCATGGAGAAAAATTAAAAGCTTCCATTAAGTTTCTTTTTTGTAAACATGTATGCATTTCAAAAACTTGTCCTACAGCCTTTCATTTTTTCGAATGAACTTAATATTTTTCACTTTATTTAACTTTTAATCCAGGAAATATCAAATAGAGCAAGTAATTTCATTGAGTTAGAAATATAGTCCAGAGGCACTACATGGTTTAAATAATTTGAAGTGTTACCATCAGTGGACAGGGGCCGCCGCTGACTAGTTGGGTTGGATAGTTTTGTCCTGGCACTGGCTCCCACAGTAGCACCTGAAACGACATACCTTGAGCATGCTATTTTGCACAATGATGCAAACCAAGCCGAGACTACATTTGAGTCAATCAAATTGCTCTGATGAATGAACAATTGTTTACCATTAGCAGGAACAGTTTTGGAAATGGCAAAGCTGGTGCTGGCTTCCATGATGACATCTGAAATATAGATGTGCAACATTCTGACTTTAACAAGTCATTTACATAAAGCACTGTCCAGAGAAATGGGTATCAGCATAATTGCAGAATTGCTTGGAGGTTGTTAAATTTGTGACATTGGGGGTGAGCAATAGGTGGTTCTGAAACCCAAACTATTGGCAACAAAGTAGAAAGTGATTGGAGAGAGCATGGAGCGTAAGTATAAAAAAAATGATAACTGAAGGATCTGCAAACATTGGCTCAAAAGATGTTTCGAGGCAGACATGGCAGTTAATATTCAATGAAACAAAGACTAAAGAAAAGTTTGACTAGAGAATGCAAAGGGAGGGATAGAGAGGAGAAATGGATAGGGAGAAATGGGAAACATGGTAGCTGAGGTTCTTGAGACCACAGGAGGCTTAAAAAAAACTTTCTGCAATCCACACTTCTGCTAGTATTTCTTACTGTTTTTGAGAATCTCCTAGAAGCCCGAGAGTGGCAGGTTGCGTCTTGTGTTGCTCCTGAAAACCTAACTCTTCAGCCTCTTCTAAACCTTAAATTAGTTTGCGTTTTGTTTTTTAGAAAAACTTTTGCTGACATTTTCAGGCTTTCAGGATATTCATTTTTAAATTCTTACCGCCTGTGACCACCTTAATGTTTTGTTTATACTTACCTTAATGTAAAACAACTTAAGGAAAGAAAAGGACGTAATTTGCTAATTATTCAAACAAAGTAAGCAATGATTTTTTTACCTGCGGTGTCTGGTGCTTTCGAGGAAGGACTTCCTCGCGGTGCAAAGTCTGCATTCAGAGAAAGAGCCATGTCATTTTAAACACAATTATTTACGCATATTGATCGATTGATTTGGTGTTTATGGCGCAAAAGCTGCTAAGGCCATAAAGTGCCAAAAGCAAGGCTATGTTGGAAGAGATTTAGAGAGAAAAAAAGAGGTTTTAGTAGCCGGTGATTAGTTTTTATTTATGCATATCCAGCACAACTGTACAAACTGAATCAAAGAAGTGATAAGGTTCAGACAGAAATGAAATATTCTGCTTAATGACATAGAACAAAGCACAACATCCTTTGAGGACGTATTCTATGAGTCAGCCAGTAACAATACTATGGTCATGCATATTCTGAACTGCTGATTGGTATTTAGATAGATGCATACATTCCAACAAGATAGATCAGTGGACCTTTTTAGGTAATTAGTGCCGTCTGGGAGATTGACTGTGAACCACAAATGAGGGGAGCCCAACCTGTCTTTGCCTAGAACCCATTGGCATTATGCTGCTGTATTTGTTCTTATTGCTCTATATGCCCTCTACATCAGACACTTAAAAAGAGTATTAAAAACAAAAATGAACTATGCACAATGATAGGTGCTGACAATGTCTGTTGTGCGGGACAGTGCCCTCCAAAAATGGCGACACCTGGAAGCAAGGCCAGGGGAGAGGGCATGCACACGTGCAGAAGCTTACTGATCTTGTGAGGAAGTATTCCATAACCTCACCATGACTGGGTTTGAAGATCTCTGTTGGCGGAGCCTGAACCTGTGCCTCAAGAAGCTGCTGTACTAAAAAATAATTGACAATTTTAAGAACGCTGTTCATACTCCATCCTTGTCCACCTATGCTATGTTCTCAAACTTATCATGAACTTGTGCCACCATGCAGACCAAATCAAGGCACTTCTTTGTAAGCACCCCTAGCAAGTTATAGTTATCTTCAGGGCACAGCAATCTCATCACAAATTTTCATGAGTTGGCTGCCCAGCGAATTTGGCCACAGAGCTGCCTGGATACTTATGTACTAAGGCTGTCCCAAACAAAAACAAATTGCAGTTTTTTTTTTTTATTGCAACAATAACCTACCATATTATCCCGAGATACCCCACCTAAAATCAAAAGCAAATCGGGGGTAAATAAGAAAAAAACTCGTTTACAATGCGCAATAAACAAAAAGTAAAACATGCTAGTTTGAAATTGATTGGAATGAGGGCAATGAACCAAAGACGACTGTCCCAGTCAGCAATGTTCGCTTATCACCAGCCTTGGTTAAGTAACAATTTCTGCCGATGTCATCATTGGCCAGGGCTCTGCAATTACTAGAAGTGGGCAATCTTTTGGTTTTTTCGGGAAAAATTGCAAATTATGCCAAATTTGGGGTCGGTTATCTCTTGGGATATAACGATATGCATCATCAAACGCTCATTCTCCACCCAAATGTAGCTTTAGAGGTCCGAACCAGATGCCCAGGTTAAAGAACTAACCGTTATCTTATTCAAAAGTTTAATCTTTAATGAGTTTGACAAGCAAGTTGGAAGAGTATTAAATATAATGTGCGATTTTCTAAAAATTTCAATGGAAAAATGCCACGAAGCTTTCGAACGCATGGAGCTGAATGCCGCCAGTTACCGATAATAGAGCCCGTTTTCCTGTTGAAATTTTCATAAAATTACTTGCTACTTACAAATGAACAGTTAGATCTGAAACTTTGGAACCTGGTTCGGACTTCCATCGCCACATTTGGTCGGAGAATAAGCGTCCGGCGATGCATAGTTCACTTTTGCAGTGAAAAAAACACTAAATGTTTTGGGGGGACACACTGTATATGTATTGTCTCCCGCATTATAAAAAGCCCACTCAAAGCGAGTGGCTGAGATAATGGCATGGCAGATGTTGTGGACAGTTTCATATTGCTCCTTGGCAAAGGGAGTGCTATAATACGGCCAAACTGAATCAGCACATGCTGACAAAGTGCACTGCCTTCCCCAGTTAGTTATTTGCGGACTTTGTAATGCAGCACTTCCTCCCCAGAAAAATTAGAAAAAAATCTTTTCAGGCAAACAAATGACATAGGCAGCTTAAGAGATTTAACAGGAATAATGCTCACTTGTATCAAGTTTTTCATCAATGCAGCTTTGCATTGAAGCAATAATGCCGTGCAGCCTGGCATTTTCTTTGTGTTCCTCCTTGTAACGCTGGTGCCAGTGCCTTGCATCCTGTTGTTTTAGCTGAAGCTGTGATAACGGAGGGACCACAAGACTGTCATCCGTGTCGCTCTCTGATGTGATCTCCAGTCGTTTCTTCTTTGGTGCCTAGAAAGTTGTGGATTGGTAGCAGTGCGACTGGCATTAAGAGACGAAACTCATATGTATTTGACAGCACTTACCTGTGCGTCAAGGTGGCCAGCAGCTTCCGCATTTTTCCTTTTAGAGCTTTCTATCTGCTCTCTTAAAATTTCGGCATAGGCACTGCCTTTTGCGGCCTGCTGATTTCCCTTGCGAGTCTTCTTTTCCTGGAGTAGTAAACACGTAGGCAGATATATTTGGGTCGAGTTATGTTGTTTCTTCTCGGAACATGATCATTTGTTGTGCAAGTGCTGGCAGCACGTGCTGAGAACTATGAAGGGTAGAAATAAGGATTGCAAAGCAGTAGCGACAACTGTGTGCATAGTGAAAATGAGAAAAGCAATTGAGGTGGGAGAAACTGATGAGACCCTTCCCATTGTTACTGTTTGCCAAAGGGCAACTCCAGTCAATATTTTTTAATTTGGGATTATGACTGTTTTGAGCACAGTTATAGCGTCCCCAAATTACAAGGTATAACTTTTTTCATCTATATTGAGTGCAGTTTTATAAATATTATGGTTCAAAATTTTGTTTTGGGCATCTACTGCAAAACTGATACTTATCTGCTAGAGAGGGATGACAACACTGATATCAGATTTACAGCCACAATGGAACGTCACAGTGGTGCTGCGCGACTAAAAGCTAAACCATTGCCATTTTTCAAGAGCAGCTGGTTACACCTTTAAAATCGGTTCTCGTGGAGTACGCGGATTCACTTTGACGTAATATTTCAGCTGTTATCATATTTTGTGCCACTGAAGCGATACCAGTACTTTATTATGGTTTCCTTTTCGACCGCAGTTTCCATTTCAGGCTTTGATCGAGCCTTTTGCAGACGTGTATTTTCTGTGAAACTGCGACTAATGATGTGAAATACATATATTGCTTGGTCTTGTTAGGAGTGTTTCTGCACCAAGAACTTTCGAAATTGTGCAATCTAAAATATTGCAGAAAAAAAAAAAAGCAAATTTATTCTTATTTATTCTACGAGCAACATGCATACCTGTCTTTCCTTTCTTGCGACTGCAGATGAGGGCACGGGTTCGTCAGCGTCCTCTTCGGCTTCATATTCTGAAGCGTATACTTTTGCTTTTCGGAGCCGTTTGGCCGACCTTTTTTCCTCAAGGCCCTCTTCAGTTTCTTTTAAAAAAAGATGTCAAAAACATTTGTTGGGTTTGCAAATTCTGTAAAAGCTATGCGCCGAGGAAACGGAGAAGACGCGTGCGGGGACGTCAGAACGCCGAGCTCCGATTCGAATGATTAGTGGACGTATACCTAAGCTGTACTCCGTTCACCCTTACCGCTCATTCACACTGGAAGCGGATCCGCGTTCGCAAAGCGGTTGGGAACGCGGTTGTATAAAGATCCAGTGCAATTGCACGCGCACTCGAGGACATCAAGTGCGCGTGCAATTGTACTCGACCTTTATACAACCGCGTTCGCAACTGCTTTGCGAACGCGGATCCGCTTCCAGTGTGAATGAGCGGTAAGGCTGAGACTACAGCCAATGCCACAAGCACGAGCTCGAGGTCGCTGCTTTGAAGCGGTCTTCCAAAGACGAGCACTCACTCTAGAAATGCACGTATCAAAGTCACGAGCACGCGTGCTAGCTCGCACTTGTAGCTTTGGTTGCAGTCTCACTTCAAAGTGAACAGTATAGCCGGTATAGCTGCCTGTCTCCACAGCACTCGTCGAACGCGTTAGAACGCGCCGGTGCCCGACTTTCGCAGTCGGACGCGTTTGACGAGTGGAAACAAAGTCGGCTACTTTAGGTCTCCCCGTGCAATCTCGTTTCCTCCACTCCCTCAGTTGATCGGCGCATTGAGTGGCAACCTAAAGAGTACATACCTGCCATCACCAAAATTTGAGCAGAGTAGAAACCTGTATTCGCTCCCGCGGGGTCTTTCCAAAAGGCTTGGTAAACAGCCCCCGGATCGAAATCTGTATCGCCGGACGGGTAGAAATCTTTTATGTTAACAGTCGGCACGACATAAACCTTATCACCGAACTCGTTCGGGAATCGAACGAGAGCAAACATTCCTATTCCTATGTTTTTAGCTTGCACGTGCGACAAAATCAAAACGGCAAACTAAAGCAAAAGACGCTAAGCTTTGTCTAGGCTTTGGATTGTAGTTTGATTCTATTTGACAAATCGCTTCGTACCTGCCGTAGAAGATATGCCCATCTAGGAGCCACTTAATGTGTCATGATACAAAATATTTGAATATGTGGAGTACAATATAAACTTATAAAAATAAATATTGTAATTAACCTCAAAATTTAAATTGATTTGATTCAGCAACAAAAAAAAAAAAAAGCACGAAGCAAAGTTCGGTTGGTAGCCAACAAAAATCTATCCGTAGTTTACTTCTGTGCCGGACCTGCGGGTAGGGTGGTAGGATGCAGCCGTGCAGCGGGCTACCACGCACCAGACCGACCTAACCCTACACCGTGCACCAGACTGACCACACTTCGTCGTTGTTCTGGTTGTTCGTTTCAAGGTGTAGAGATCTCCGAATTTGACATCTGGAGTTTGTGTTGGCTTGATCTTAGAAAGAAATGCTTTCTGCCCACAAGTATCGGACTCGCAAGCGGTATTTAGAGCCGGACGCGTCACCGTACGAGCGCATGCCCAGGTCGACGTTGCATTGGATTAATGCAAGGAATGCAACCGCTTCTACAGATGCCTCCACGTCGTCTGTCCCCCCTCATCCTTCGGCCGAATTACCCGACTACACTGAGGAACAACTGGACACGGCCGAGCACGAAAATCTGGGCTTGGGCCATGATCATCCGCGGGAGGATCGACCGTTTGTCGAGTTCGCGACGCCGCTTGGAAACGGCACCTCTTTGTCCGTTGGTGATGCGCTCGTTCTGATTATGGATTACGCTATCGATGAGGGACTGGCATGGACTAGCATCGAAAAGCTTTTAAAGCTGCAGAATCGTCTGTTGGGAACAAACAGCCTTCCTGAGAGTAAATATTTATTTCGCAAGTTCGCAAGTGCCTCCCCAGATGACGTTACTTTTTATTTTTACTGTCCCGCCTGCGAAACTCTCTTGACGAAGACAGCGGGAAGTTTGAAGGAAAGACAGGCCATCTCCCCCACGTGCTCAATCTGTGGCGATCAGTACCTCGGGCGGGACCTCATGTCCAAAGGCAACTATTTTGTTAGTTTGCCACTGGAGACCCAGCTGGCGTCGGTCCTCGCAGATGAAGACGTCAGGAAAAAGCTGGCAGAATCCCTAGCGAATGGCAACGCTCCGAGGGGAACCGTGAAATCTGATATAACAGACGGGGAATTTTATCGGCAGCAGCGCGCCAAACTTGGCTGTGGAACATACGATTTGACTGTTTCAATGAATGCTGATGGAAGCCCGGTTTTCAAGTCGGCAAACTACTCAATATGGCCTGTACAACTGACGCTTAACGAACTGCCTCCACACTTGCGCTGGCGTGCTGTCGTTCTGCCGCTCTTGTGGTATGGTGCTAAGCACCCTAACATGACCCTGCTCCTGCAAGCGTTCGCGACCCAAATGGATGGGCTTGCCCAAGAGGGGATCACCTGGAACGCTGGAGGCATCACAGTCAACTCCAAGGTAATTTAACTGCATAAAATGCTTGAGAACGACTTTCTATATAATACACGCTTTGATGGCTGTTATGTTTATAGCTTCAGGCGTTGTAGTTTCCTAGAACAGTGTTTGCAATAAAACACCCATTAAAGCAATCTACGTGCACATATAGCTCTCCTTGGTATTTTCCATTAGTTTGCCATAGTTCTATGCTTCTTGAGCGCACCGCTCAAGAAGCGTACAGTTGCCATGTTCGCGTCCGTGACAGCAGACGGCCACGGGCTAGCAGGCTATGCAGCAGATCTTTCTCTGGTTCAGGTGACGCTGCATTTTGCAGTGTGAGTATAATGTCATGCGGGATGTTCGCCTGCTGCACCAAGACACAGTTGAAACAAAAGGTTCGAGGTACTATCACGATCAATGAGTGCGAACACCGCTTCATACGAGCACTTCATACGAGTTGTGAATGCAAAAATATGCATGTCGCTCCCTTAGTTCATTTGCGGCGTACTGGTATGGACGGCTGAGTGCACACTCTCCTTGTCGCGCTGAACCCCGCCATGGAGCAGCTGCCGCACGGCCAGCACACCGGTAAAACCATGCGCAGACGTTTCGTTTTACCGGCGCACAGGCGGCGCGGACCCGCAGCGCCATGGGGTGGCAGTTCTTGAAACTGACGTGCAGCGGCCAATGGGAGCCTTGTTCCTTGAAACTATGATGCGCGCCAGCCAATGGGAGCATACTCCATCAGATCATCAGATTTCTGTCACGGACGACATTGGAACGGGGACAGGTGGCGTTTGGCATGGCTTCAAAGCTCATGGCATAGGTTCGTTCCATATTACAGTTAATGCTTTGACATTAAAGGAAAGGAAAGCACATTTGCAGATGTGTGGTTTTCTTAAGTATAAACATGCGCGCAAAAACAATCTGCCGCTTCGTCACTCTCAGTTTGTAGACACTTGGGTAGGTTGCATGCATCATCAAGAAATATATTGACAAGTACCAAGCGAACTCGGCATCTGTCACAATCTTTATCATACTTCCTGTTGATGGTCCATTTGCATTCTCACGGAGTGCAGCCTAGTGTTTTGGCAGTCGTATGTTCGTTCTCTCAGAAGTTTAAAAGGGAAAGCCGGAAGTCCTGAACCTTGAACTCCTCTTTTTTTTTACTTGGTGTGGCGATTGATTATCACGCACGCACCAAGGTGCGGTGTCACCTGAACCAGAGGGCGATTTGCTGTGTAGTATGGCCCGCACAGCTGTGGCTGTCTACTGTCACGGACGCAAAGATGGTGATGTACCCAGAACCAACTGTTCGCTCGCCGCGCATGAATACAACTTATACTGACAATTTTTCATATGATATTTCTTAACATTGTAACATTTCTGTGTGAAAAGGAAATCTACAGCTCTTTTAACTCGCTGAGTCATGTCAGTCGATCAAGGTTCTGCCAAGTACAGACATTTACGAACCAATTATTTTCAGGTGTACTGCATCAGCAGTGTGGCGGATGCCCCTGCAAGAGCTGCCATGCAAAATGTTATGCAGTACAACGGATACTTTGGCTGCTCCTGGTGCCTCCACCCTGGAGTATGTATCCAGGGTAAGAAAAATATTTGATTGCGCTACTTTTGAAGTGGTTAGAAATAATAATTTCTAATATTAATAATATTTTCTCCATTTTCCAACAAAATTAATGTTAAAAAAGAAAACAAAATGTTAGAAAAGAGCTTGACTGGCCCTAAGCCACCAAAATACAGCAGCAGATCATCTCAAAATCTACATTTATAAGTAACCAATAAAAAAAGAAATGGTGAACTTGCACAACAAAATATGCACATGGGAAAAAAAAAAAGAAAACTGCCATACCGTACAATACCGCACATCTGCTCATTCCCAAATTTGCAAGATCTGAGAAAATATGTTCAGTACATTTATATGTAAAAGTGGTTACCGGACAAGTGCCCACCCCCCATTTTCTTTCTGATTATCTCCCAATTTTAAGTGGGCACATGCTCAGCATTTGACAGTGTGTTGTCAATTTAAATATTTATGGCACTAAACTTGTTGAGAATGGTCAGAAGAGAATTATTGTATGATGGCCATAATTTCTTCTAGCAAATAGTACTTCCCAAGGCTCCATTACCATATATTGAAAATGAATATGCACTCTTGTTAAATTAGTTTTTTTTCATGCTTGTTTTTAAGGGGGGGGGGGGGGGATTATATCTAGCATATCTATACAAATAATACATTTTCATGATAGGAAGTTGACCAAAGTAGAATATCTTTTGTACGTTCAGTTCCGTCCAAGCAAATGCTCTCGGTATCATTTTCAGTAATATGAATATTGTGGAGGGTTGTGTGAGTAGATGTACCCCATGCTAGGTTACTATCATTTCTATGCACATAAAATAATGAAATATAATTAATGGCCTTATCTTAAATGGCAGAGTATATCTAGCAATATGTCAGCCCATCTGTATTGGATCATTTTGACATGAAATTAACGTGATTATCCCATGACATGGACACCGAAAAAAAACAGTAAAAAACACCCAGGGTTATAAGTGCTGCAACAAATTTTATATCTGCATTTATATTGCCTTGTTGCTTTTCCAATGAAGTAAGACTAGTTAACTTGGCATCAACAATTTTGTGCTATGTTGTGAAGACAAATAGTTTCTGCAGTACTCTTACCTTGTCAAAGCCATTTTCTGCGAACACATGCAAATGAGACGCAAGGCGAAACCACATGCTTTCACTGCAGTGTGTGGCCGCTGCACTGTGGAAGCAACACTAGCCTTGGCAATTAGCACAAAAGAGCTGATGCATAGTCTTATTCACATTTAATTTCAAAGAATAGTTTTTGCTCCATACATCATTTTTTTTAAGTGTTTCATTTACATATTATATAAGTTCTATGGCAATATCACCAGTCTAAAGTAAACTAGTATCATCAGCTTTTATAATACATTTTGTTGTGAGGCTTTTGTTTACATTATTGTTGGTATACAGATTGAACAAAAAGAGGTTCATAATACTTTTTTGGGGAAGGGCTGATATAATTTATACTTATGTTAACGTATGACCTATGGAAAAACAAGTACAATTTAATAAAAGGTGATACCTGTCCATAGAAGCCATACATGTTTATCTTTCTAATGAGTAAGTCTCATTATCAAGATAGTCAAAGGCTTTTGTAAAGTCTAGAAATAAGCCAATAGTAAGAATAAGTTTGTTTATTTTCTGTGCAAGAAGAGCAAGTTCACTGGGAGTGTTGTTTATGTAAGCTAAATCTCACTGTTGACTGTCACTCGTGCAGGCTGCATCAAGTACCCTGTGAGCACCGGAGCCGTGGACGACCGCACTGAGCACGGGATGGTTGCGGACATGGCGGAAGCAGCACAAACCAAGCGCACGGTTCGCGGCGTGAAAGGGCCTTCACCACTCCTCAACGTGCCTGGCTTCAACATAGTCTTAAGCTTCTGCCCAGATTACATGCATTGTGCCCTACTTGGTGTAACGCGCCAGTTTGCAGAACTCTGGTTCTCCAGCGTCGGTGAGCAGTTCTATATTGGGGACCCTGCACGACAGTCAGTTGTGAACAAGCAGCTGTGTAGCCTGAAGCCGCCACAATGCTTCAATCGAGGACCACGGGCCTTAAAGCTCCGTAAATATTGGAAGGCAGCGGAGTGGCAGTGCTGGCTGCTATATTACTGCCTGCCTTGTCTAAAGAGTGTACTGCCAGTGCAGTACTATGAGCATTTCGAGCTCTTCGTCTCTGCCCTGTACTTGCTAGCAAAAACAGATGTGGAAGCGAAAGACATTGATGTGAGCACAGAGAAGATCACAGAGTTTGTTGTGCTGACTGAGTACTTGTATGGTAAGGAGCACATGAGCTCCAACCTTCACACACTTTTGCACCTTCCAAAGGCAGTGCTCCTTCACGGCCCACTATGGGCACTGTCTTGCTTTCCTTTTGAATCCAATATGGGACATCTTTTGAAGCTTGTGTCTTCTTCTAATGGAGTTCCTTTTCAAATTTTATCCCGCACTCTCCTTCGAAATAGTTTTTTTGAACTAGTGAGCATGGCTTCGAACGAGGTGCAAGAGTACCTCTCACTGAAGAAAAGGCGGAGGCAAGATAACTTGAAGCTTTTAGGTAAGCCTAGACAGCTGCCCGAGCATCTCTATGAACTTGTTGAGGAGTTGGCCCCAGAAGGCACACTGGAGCTTAAGGAGTATGATCGTGTGTGTGTGGCTGGGCACACTCTCCACAGCACTCAGCACAAAGCTCCATCAAAGCGGGACTCCACGGCCTTTAAGCTAGGAGATGTGTATGCGAGGGCCGAGCACATACTTTCTGCTGGTAGCGACGGGAGCCAAAATGTGTATGTAGTCTCACATGGTTATGAAGTGACAGACTTCGGAAATGTAACGCACCTCAAGCTTGCACGTAAGCAATCTGTAAAGAAATTGCATAGGCTCTCTGGGCAAGTGCGTCCTTGCATGTACCTAGATGTTGACGGTGGTGTTATTTTTGCTGAACTGTGCAATAAGTATGAATGGTCCTAGATGATTGAATCCTTAAAGGGACACTGACAGGGTTTTTTTTTTTCTTTTCGCCGAGGTTTTTAGTTGTACGTGACATATGAAATCTTAACTACTCGGAGCAGAATTTGCAGCTCGAAATTCGGTTTCTTTCCGCCCGAAAACCGCCGATCGAGAACTGGCCGGTTTCAGTCGCGCTCACTCGCCTTTTTGTAGTCATGGGCCGTTTTCTAAGGTTTATTTAATCAAAGTCGTGGGTCGTTGAAAGCACACGCTCAATATTAAAAATATAAAAAAACCTATTTTTTGTGGCTTCCAAAAAGCTGCAAATAACTTGATTGAAAAAAAGTTGGAGAGAGAACCGAAAGCATTCTGTGCGTTTACTACGTAATTCTCAACATGGCATTGTATCTCGTATCGTGGGTCTCGCGGGCTGGACGGCGATAGCAGCGGATGACGGACATTGGACCTCTACTTCAGAACTGTCGTTCATGGTACCGGCGACTCTGTCTTCATTCGAAAGAGAAATTTTGGACCGATCAAAAGAATTGGTGTTTATCCCGTACGACACGCCCGACCACCAAGCCAATTTGCACGAAGACGTTGCCGAGCCGTTGCCCCTTCTCGTGGCGGAAGACATCGCTCGTGCAAATGTCAAGCATGAAGTGCGTACTTCGAGTTGAATATGCATGCGTATGATTTCTTTACTAGGTGCGAATGTGGCCAATGCGTGGTGCTGCCTGACTTTGGGCTGGGAGTGCCTTTGCTGGAGGGAAATCGGCAGCAAACTTTCCGACCTACAGTAGACTGGCTTCATTACCACGAAGAGTTCCTCCAATAGCTCAGTGGAAAGATGTCTGCTTCACACGCAGTGGTCCCAACTTCAATCCCTGATGTGGGCATACTTTTTTTCTTTTTTTTTTTGTCAGACATTTTGTGACATTTACATATCTTTTTTTTTTTTTTGCAATTATCACTCAACAAAAAAGAATGTGGACGACACATCGCTAAACTAAATGGTATGGGATTTCTTTTTTGACACTTGTGAACTCAATGTAGTCTCCTTGCACAAAATGCAAGGAGCATATGAATCGGGTGGCGTCCACTTTCCGAGGTGCTCGGAAACGTGTGCAGACTCTGGCGCACAATGCCACTTTCAGATGCAGGACACGTGAGGCAGCACTTCACGCAAAATCTGGGGGGTATTCTTTTTGGAGCCGATCACAAGAATTCACTATGGGTACTCGCTACTCATTTCCAATTCTTGAATGTACAAAACAACTCATCTTGAAGTACAGAACAGCGAGCAGAACAAACATAACTGCAAAGGAGTCGCATGGTAAACAATTCCCGCTACGCATTTTGTCTGCTGTCCGCAGAAAAAGAAAAAAAAGCGCACTGTTGGGTGTAGTCATGTGACTTCCGGCTCTCTCTCATTATCTATATTTCTCCGTCCTCCTTGCAGCGGTTTCGGTTTTGAGCAGTTGCGTTTTTTGGCTTTATTAAAATAATACGTGACTCAGTAGCAATATATTAATTGGGTAGTCTTCCGACACCGTAATGAATCGTCTGGCAAAAAATGAAAAAACATTTTCTGGGGGTGTCAGTGTCCCTTTAAAGGAGGTATGCTGCTTACCATTTTCAGTACTTGCTTTTAGTACTTGAACGTAATAGGGAGCCTTTAAGCTCCAAGTACTAAAAGGTAGAAGTACAGGTATTAGGTGTACTACAAACAAATTTGAATGCTCTTTTTAGCCTATGCTGGTTATTTTTGACCTACGGACATGTAACCTAATGTATGTTTATTATGAATTTTTTGCTTCTCATCTTGCTGTATAGCTGTGCCGAAGATATTTTTGTGTATTTATCTACACCCGCACACTTTATACTTGGATTATGTTAAAGGTATACCATATCTTCCAGACTATAGTCTGCATTATACATGTTCAAATGTTACAATTTTACTTGGTGCAAATTATACTAGAATTTGTTTTTCTAGATTCCTCATTATAACGAGACATGATGAAGTTTGATTGACAGACCATGTTAAGAATTACATATAATATCACCAGCTTTGCAAGCTAAAAGCAAGCATTTGCCCAGCTATTTTTGTGTTATCAAATTTTATATGTGCAGACTAGGTGCCAGGTGCAAAACTATGCATCAGATGCGAATGACCTAAGGAATAAATTTTATTGTTTGAACCGAAATGTGGCCCTGCGGACTGCACACGGGGTGTGGGCTATAGTCTGAAAAGTGTGGTATTCCGTGTGCGAATTGAATGTGGATTGGAATTGCTATAAATTTATAACTTGTCCATTTTAATATTTTTCTAACCTGCAAGTCTCACAGCTGTACAACTGAGACACATACAATAAACAAGTTCTTATTTTATTTCTTTTTGCACGGCCTTTGCTTGTACTGCATTTTATTCTAGAGTGGAAGTGTCCATCATAAGGGCCATCTTTGCCTCACTCAAATTTTGCACATTACGTACAAACAGAATATGCAGAAGTTTTCACGTCTGCTTTATTTTAGCATCGAGATTCAGCTTCTGGAGTTGCTGAGCTGAACCAAAACATTCTACACAAAAACAATTGAAATTCGCTTGGCATATATCTGTTCACATCTTGATTTCAAATAAATACCTTTTTTATATGCAGTTGCTCTTGACTATTGTAAAAGTGAGGAACAAACCAGACTGATGGAGGCAGGAAATTGCATGTCGGTCTAATGAAGTCGTCAATATTTTCAGCAACCCCAATGTTTTGTGCCAAGCTAATAGTGACATCTTATAACTATTTAAAAGTTCATAGCATGCCCTTGATTAATGGACATCATTATATTAAATTGCAAAGGTTGGTAAAATAAAAAACGCCTCCTGCACAACAGCAAAGCATAGGCAAAAAGTGAATTTCAACAAATAGGTTGAAAACCATTTTTCTATTTGCAGAAACATCTCAACATTCTTTTTATAAAGGCTGTTGAGATGTCTGCTTCTACAAAGCAGCACTTTTTTCCCCTATTTTTCATATTTTCCAAAAACAAAATAAATACAATGTTCTCTCCAGACAACCTTAATCGAAACATTAATTTAAAACAATCACTTGTGTTATAAGCCTATCTTGATATGTAGTGAAAAATTCAGTGAAAATAAAATAAAAAAATGTTAAACTGCAAGTGGGACCACTTGGCTTAAAGTGGGAAAAATCAAGTGGGAGAGGAACCAAAGTGGGACCATTTGAAAGTAAACTGGAACCAGTTAACCCTAAAAGGGGACTAGCAAGTGGGAGTTTGAACCAAAGTGGGACCATTTGGTAGTAAACTGGGCGCCACTTTGAGGTAAAGTGGGACCAGTTGCAGATAAAGTGGGACTAGTTGGAGGTAAAGTGGGACCAGTTGCAGATAAAGTGGGACCAGTTGGAGGTAAAGTGGGACCACTTAGATTAAAGTGGGACCACTTGTAAAACCACTTTGAATTTTCACCTGGGTCAGCGGTTCCAAAACATTTGTAGAAGGTGGCACCTGGTTTCGAAGTTTCGTGAAATGCTTTCTGCTACTTCCATTGATGGCAGTCATATGCATTCCCGCGGGTATTACTTGACGACGATAAGGCAGAACATGTAGACACATTTCTTCACGGTGGTCTTATGAACAACGAACTGATTGTCTACGACCCAGTATTCGCAACAGCTTGCCATTATGCAGAAAGCGATTGCCACCCTCTTTTCTAAAGGCACGGGTGCTCTGGCACATTCCGGCTTAGGACACATAAAAGGTGCCACAAGTGACACCAGCCTCTTGAAGGATGCACGAGTCATTTGGAAGTTATCTTTCCAGTCATCGTCGGTGACGTGGGTTAACACTATCCGGCTCCACCAGTCGTTCGATTGGGACTTCATACACAGTTTCTTCCAGCGTTGTTCGTTTGCTGATGAAGCACCTGTTGGAGGAACCAACATACTTTAGAGCGCAGCTCTTAAGCGCCCGTTTCCAGCTTGAGCGGCGTCGCCGTCGGCGTAACCGCGCGGTGCAGCATGGGTAAATCGCCAGCTAAATCTGGCGGAAAAATTTCCACGCTAAATCTAGCGGAAAAATTCCCCCGCTAGATCTAGCGGAAAAATTTCCCCGCTAGATCTAGCGGGGAAATTTAGCGTGGAAAAATTTCCACGCTAAATCTAGCGGAAAAATTCCCCCGCTAGATCTAGCGGAAAAATTTCCCCGCTAGATCTAGCGGAAAAATTTCCCCGCTAAAGCTAGCGGAAAAATTTCCCCGCTAAATCTAGCAGAAAAATTTTCCCGCTAAACCTAGCGGAAAAATTTCCCCGCTAAATCTAGCGGAAAAATTTCCCCGCTAAATCTAGCGGAAAAATTTCCCTACTAAATCTAGTGGAAAATTTTCCCCGCTAAATCTAGCGGAGAAATTTCTCGCTAAATCTAGCGGAAAAATTTCCCCGCTAAGTGGAGCGGAAAATTTCCCCACTAAATCTAGCGGAAAAGTTTCCCCGCTAAATCTAGCGTAAAAATTTCCCTGCTAAATCTAGCGGAAAGATTTCTCTGGAGGTTCACGTGACCTGGGGGTTCACGTGACCCCCTCTTCGAGGTCACGTGACCTCGGGGAATCGCGTGACCCCCCAAGTGGACAGGTCACGTTACCCTTCCCCAGGTCACGTGACCCCCGAGAACACGTGACCTTCAGTACCCTTCCCTCCTCCTCCAGAGCTGTGCTCTAATTTGTTGTTACAGGGAGTTGTAAACGGCTTTCACTTTTTCTAATAAACACAGGAAAATATATGTTCTAGTTATAAGCTTCAGCTTATAGGAGCGCGCGCAGCACTTAAGAACCTTTTTATTACTAAAGACTTCATTGAGCTGCTCTCACCTGGTGTGAGCGTTCCTTCATTGAGAGAACTTGGAATTACACCGGTATTGTGCAGCAATGTTTGACAGTAAACCGACTGTATTTGACGGTAACGCTGCTGATCCTGAACGAGTGCCGCAGCAAAGAAAAGTATGCCTACAAAAACAGAACACGTGCAAACAGAGTTGCGTTCATGTCTACACGGTGACATGCAGAAACAGAATATGTTTATTAAGTAATGATAGAGCAGGAGAAGGGGACGAGATGGGGAAGGGTTATCACAACGGTCATGCCGGCTCCATGTTCGGCACGCTCCAGTCCGTGGTGTGGTCCACG